CTGTCATCCAGTTTCCGTGTGGGATATCATATTGTCTGATATTCGTTCATCCCACTAACTGAGTCCTACCAATCCATAATACACACAAGGTCACCAAATGCTAAGTTATACCAGCCAACCCTTCTCTTGACCTTGGAGCCGTTCACGTCGAGCAAAGCAGGTGAACCCGTGTTACCCTCTCCTTCTCTGAGCATCCGCACATTTTGTGTGGGTATGTGTTGGCGAACCTATCCAACTGCACGACCATTGTAACAGTGTCGACAACCATGATTCAATGAAACCCAGCATATGATTATTAACCTTGTCCTGCACAAAGCAAAAATGTGGGGCGGACGTCGCCTGCCTCAAGTTCAAACATATCTAAGGCGACCACTCAAAGGATCGACAAAAAGTGGTCGCACTGGACTGGTGGTCGCCATAGACAGGTTAATGCACCGTGACATTACTCATAGGAGAAAACCTTGGGGATGTGTTTGGCTGGTCACCATTGCAGGTTGGACTGTACGTGTTCTGCGTTGTACTGCGAGCAGAGGTTTGCCGTGTGGTAGTATTTGTCTTGTCTTTTGTGAAAGGCAATCCATTGCTACAACAAGCCTGTTTATGTGTGCAACGCCGTAAGTCGTCACACTGTCTGTAGGGGTCAAGTGTTGTTACGCATCCAAGAACGGGCAGTGTGGTGGTGTTCGATCAACTTTTACCTCACAATTCACGTTTCACGTCGTTTCATGAGAATTGGCAGAACCGTTGGGGTTGTGTTTGTGGCTACCTATTACACTAATCTGTAGTGCTAGTTCAGCGATTTCCCCACGCAAGACCGAAACTAGTTCCTTTTGCTGTGCCGACAAAGCAGCTGGTGTTTCACACCTATGCTTAATTGTTTTAATAATCCTAACTAACGGCTATCTGAGTATAGGTTCCAGAACCACACACTATTTGTTTACACACTATGCTTTCCGTTGAGTTCACGTCTATTCTGTCATAGGAATTGGCACAGAGCGACCACTTGCTTCATTCCATGAACTCTATTGCTACCCGTCTGATCTACGATTGATCTTAGGTTCGTAGCACACTAAAACTTTCCTCAGCCAGTTGAAGGCATATCGTTTTCAAATTCCTCTTTAATGAAAGCATGTTCGTCCATAGATCTTTCAAGATGGTCCCTAACGCTCTTAAGTTGAATGCAGTGTGCCCGAACACCCTTAAAAGCCTCAGTCCATCGAGACATGAAATCCAAATCAGGCACTATCATCCAACCCTGTGTTCTCATATGTTATTATATCTCCTTATTTGAGATTGGTGGCTCAACGAACAGCATGTAATTTCGAGGTGTGTTTGCACCCGTTGCATTCAACTTGAAAGCGTTATGGGTCATCTTGAAAGATCTATGAAGGAACATGGTTTCCTTAAGGATGAATTTGTTAGCTCTATGGATTTGATTGGCTGAGAAAAGGTTTAGTCCCGTCGAAAACTTCTTCTACCCGTGGCTCAGTGGTTCGTATTTATTTTTAGATCAAGCTGATCACACCGTCTTGAGCTGTGTAAACTGTATCTTTCGGTTAGCAGGACCTATTCGTTAGTGGCAATATTCCACTAGTCGGCAATTCGAACTGTGCTTATGTTATTTACTTCCTGAGATGCAAATGTATTTAAATTATCATTACAACATGGACAACTGTTGGTTTACCCTATGTTTCCTTCGAAT